TGAAACCGATACCGTTCTGACGCGTCACGTCACGACACATCAGACAAATATAAAACCACCTTTACAAGTGTTGTTGTTTCAAGATCGCTTGAAAAATGCCATATAGATATAGATAGTACAGAGGGCGCGTCTACACCATATTCAGAGCCCCGATTACGGTAACTTTTATAACGTCTACAATCCAGACGCGTTTCTGATTCTGCGATACGATTGGTCAAAACAGCTGACGTACGCTGTTGAACGACCAATCGTATCGCAGAATCGAGAAGCGTGTCTGGATTGTTGACGTTAAAAATTACCGTAATCGGGGCCATATTCGCAATAAAACAAAATGTACCTACTAACTACCATGCATGAAACAAAACTAGATACTGGTTTGGTCATTTCTGCGCCCCTCCAGGGTCTGCGCCATGTGCCTGGGCACCGCTGGCACCGCCCTAGTTACGGCACTGCACGGAGGGTCAAGATTCAATCATACTTATGAATAAATCGCCCAATTCAAACACATGTCAACCCGTCAATCTATTCAATCATGAATAGACAAGTAAATAATAACCATGTAACGTCAATAATATAGATAAGTCCAGTTCTTAACTTAGTCAGTGCCTGAGGAGCAGCACGAGAGGGGTGGTAAATTATGACATAACAGAGCATACAAAGTATACCTAAAGTCTCGCTGACGTTTAGGCTAAGAACTCATGGCGCGATTTTCACCGGTGCCCGCGGCGGTTACGGGCCCGCAGCTTCTGTAGAATGCAGATACTTATGTTAAAACTAATGCACAACTCACGACGCGGTTTACGCCCGCAGCGGGCGCGGTTGTAATCGGGCCCCGCGGTTTTTGCGCGGGCGAAAACCGCCCGATCGGCGGGCGACCATTTTGTATCATTGACGCTCTCATTTTGTAAAATCGCGCCGTGAGTTCTTAGAATAATCGCGCAAATAACCGCTCCCGTGAGTTTTGAAATAAAATCGCAATTCCACAACCGCCGCGGGCGCGGGTGAAAATCGCGCCGTGAGTTCTGAGCCTTAACCGTCACAAAAACTTACCGTGCCGCTCTCATACCTCAGGCACTGACTCAATTAAACGCCAGATCTATGCCTGACAGACACGGTATCCGACGGTTAAATGATGATCGCATAGACGCCGCAAAAAATAGTGATATCATATTGTTTTACAAAAGAGAAGCTAAAAATAACTATTTGGGATTTTGGAATCATAAATCATAGATTTGTTTGGAAGACGTGAACGAATAGTGTGTCTCAAGATTTTATTTCACACTAGGTTTAATCACAGAATAATTTAAATGTAGTTTACTTCGCGTTTTACTGAGATTGTCCTCTTTATGTGAAGCTTTTGATTTTGAAGACATAACTGTATAATTACAAAGTCAAAGTCAAAATTTCTTTATTTGTATCGACTAATAAATATTCCTTACAAATCGTCAAATATTATGGTCATAAGGAGCCTCTACATGTCTTATATTTTTACCCTACCAGCGCTTCGAGACCAACATTTGGCAAGTGCTGAGAAGAAGCGCCGCAACAAACTCACTAATTACAATAATTATGTACAAGCTTAGCTTAATATAGAGCTTGTACTATAATGACTAAGCAATTGATTTCTACGTTTCAGGTATTTTATTTAAAGCTATTTAAAAAAAATGTAGAGTCTGCACTGTAATTAAGGCTGAGTTGCACCACCTAACTTTGACCGTAACTATAACGATAACCTGTGTTTTTTGTATGAAGTTTGACAGATTTTTGACGTCCTAACTTTGACCGTAACTATAAGATAACCGGTGTTTTTGTATGAAGTTTGACAGATTTTTGACGTTTTTCAAAGTTAAAGAAAGATGGTGAACCCAGCCTAATTTGTGAAGTTTTACAATTACGACTAGCAATTAAACTAACCAAGGCCAAATCTCAAACTCAATCTCCAATCATCCTCAATCTATTAATAAGTACAAAGCAACTGCACCCTAATGCCGAACTTCCTGCTCTGCCCGGGAGAAGACACCGCGACCTCACGACTCAACGACTCTGATTCAGCTGCTTTGAGCCCGTATCCCTTACATCCGTTCGGCGGCCTCGACTTGTCCATAGATAAGGGAGATCAGTCAGGACTAGGGCATGAATATCGGAATCTCGGAATCTCGTAATATCGGAATCTCGGAGTACGAGATCCGATATTACAATTCCGATATTGAGCGACCCAATATCGTAATATCGGAATCAGATAAAGGTTTTAATTGAGATTTTAAACAAAGCGTTTAAACGCGCCACAACCTGCTACAAAGCCCAAAGCACATGATTGGCAAAGACTAATGATTTTCTCATGTCTCTCACCATCACTTTTTGTCCCACTGCAAATATTTATGGTTAATTTTACTTGTTCTAAAAAATTTTAATACTTGCCGTATTTGGTCTTAGCGATGAAAAACGACATCTCAACTCACCTGTTGGGAGATTCAATTAAGGTCTTCGAGCTTTGTGCCGAGGTCTTCCAGCGATTCCGCACTAGTACTCAAAACTGACGGCCGATGGGGCAGCAAGGTTCTGGAGTGGAGGTCACGTACCGGAAATCGCAGAGTAGGACTGCCATTCACAAGGTGGACCTCAGGCCGCTACCAACCAACCATTTGCATTGTGAAAATTATTGGGGGAGGCCTATGTTCAGCAGTGCACGTCCTATGGCTGAAATGATGATGATGATGATGATGATGGCCCGTGGTTTTGTGAGTTGTACATCGATAATCAAAAAGGAACAAATTACAAGGACATTCAAGTTTTTTTACCACTTATTAAAATTTTTGTAACATTTGACTTGAATGACTCTACAAATCGTTCCGCCAGTATTGGTTGATGAAGTAAAAGTTTGTTTGATACCTGTTTTACAAAAACACTTAAATTCTTTGCTAGTCCATATTGGCCTAATATCAGTAACCAAATGCAATGGAATTGGATACCCATAACATACAAAAATGGTTTTAAATACTTCAATTTTATAATTTTAGGAAGTGCTGTTTTGTACCAAATTAAAGATATTGATTAAAATCATTATTTTACTGTATACAATTAAGAAATGTTACGAAAATAATAAATATGTATTCAACTTATAACACAAACTCAATTCCGATATTAATATCGGAATTCCGATATTGAGATCTAATATCGGAAATCAATATCGGAATTGAAAACCTTCCGATATTACATGCCCTAGTCAGGACGTCGATAATCAGAGATGAATTATTGGAAAAATTGATCTTGGATGCTATAGTTTCCTAAAAAAAACTTTTAGTGCGTAAATTATAGGTATTATCAAAAAATTTAGACACATTTATTTGTCAATCGAACAAGTAATTACGAAGTTATGGTGCGTTGAAGTTCCAGGTGACGTCACAAAGTGCTACACTTATAGGCAGTCCTTGTCGTCATGGGTTTCTTCTTTTAAACTTTGGTGCCCTTTATCTCTTTCAACTTTCATTAATTCGAAAAAGTGAAAAATACGTGTCGAGTATTTTTTTGTAAGATAACTGACGGACTAATTCAAACTCTTGCTTTTTTACCCAGGAATAAATAAATAAATAAATATCCCTGGACATTTTACACTACGCTTCTAGTCCCAAACTAAGCAAAGCTTGTATTATGGGTACTAGACAACCCTGTCAATTGCGATAAGTAAAATTTAATCTCACACTCTGTCGAGTTTCAATTGAATTTCGAGTGTCATTCCGATATAAGGTTGCAAGAAACTTAGATTTTTGTTCAAACAGAGCTGTCTGTTCTATCTATGCTGTGTCCCGCGATGAGAGCCGCGAAAATGGGTCATATCGAGTGTTATCTAATCAAGGGTCGTTGACCTGTGAAATGTAACACTACACCACAGATAATAATGCTACACCATCGCACATGTGTTAACTGTAACTGTAATCAATGACTAATACCTACCATGCTTTATTACATAATTGGCTCATTGAAATTGGGTCAATTTTTTGTCAATGATTTGATGATTGAATGACGCATGAGTTCGTGTTACTTAGATTATTAATAACTGTAACTGCCTGAGGGTTTTCTGGAGAAGTTAACATTTATGTTTTTAGCGAATAGACCGGCTGAATTATAATTCAGCCTGTCTACTACTAATTTTGTGAATATTCCACAAAGTTATAATAGCACAAATATTAAAAACCGAGAATCACTTTACCCGTTATCACTGTCGCTAGACCCCTCAATATCCTCATTAACCCCCGTTAATGAGGATATTAGTCATTTGTTTAATCACAAATTACTAGTAATAATTAAAACATTTTAATAGTGTAGACCTTAATAAGATTCAAATGAATCTATGACTGAGAATATCCTCTGAACAACAATAAAATTCTTTTTTCGACAATTTTTTTATTATAATCAAACCGGGGAGAACAATCAGATTTGAAATTATTGTCCCATCTGGACATTAAAACTAGGACCTCTCAACATCCAACTACTTATTTAACTACTAGCTAGACCATAATGGATGTTGTTCTTCTTCAGACAGTACTTACTGACCAAACTAGGAACAACAAAGATATTTCTCTTTATGTGTCTCATCTGAACACCGAACCCTGAACCTCTAAGCTCCAGGTACTGATACAGAAACCTATTACAACGACAACGTTGTTTGACTTCGGCGTCACTAACGCCTTCCTTCCTGAACAACCGTCAACAGCAAAGAAACCACTGGACTCTCTTACAGTAATAATAGAAGCGAGATTGCTACAAAAATGCTGTTGTACATAAAGCACATCAAGCTAAATACTGTGGCATCTAATGTCCTTAAAATAGAAGTTATTTTCCAACAAAAACTGCCTGTTAAGCTGACTGTACAACGAGCTTTAATTACCAATGTTGTTCTAACACAGATCCCCAATATGGCCGCGGCCGCACAAGGAGCTTTCATAAATACAGTCGTTCTACTTAATTGCCCNCTACTGGTTTTTCATAATTTCGCCCAAGTATTTCCTTCACCCTGTATCGCTCATATCATTGCCGAATACTAATCTCCACTGCAACATTTTCGTCGTCTTCGGCTCATGAGACGTGAGCTCGCCGCGCCTGAGCTACGAGCTCCGAGCCTGAGCTTCGCCCGCTTGAAACTGCAGAAAATTTGAAGGTAAGTTGTTTATTCATCATTATGAACCATTGAAAACGTTATTATTTTATGTAATTGTTTAATTGATTGCTGTAATTGTTGACTCATCCAAGACAAAAGTTGATAGGTAACTTGTTTATTCATCTTTATGAACTTTAGAAAACAGTTATTTTATGTAATTTAGTATTAATTGAGTAATATTGGTGTAACTGTTGACTTATCCATGACTAAAGTAGATATTTCAGTTAAGTTTGATCATTAGTATAGTAATTTTATCTTTAACCATAGTTAGTCAGTCTAGTATCAGTTCTACTTACAGTCTCATAGATACACTCATAACTTCACCCCCTTGTATTGCCCTATCATTGCCGTATACTATACTCCACTGCAACATGTTTCGTCTTCGTCGGCTCAGTGACGAGCTCGCCGCGCCTGCTTGCGAGCGTCAGGCCTGAGCTACGAGCTCTGAGCCTGAGCTACGAGCTCTTAGCCTGAGCTACGAGCTCCGAGCCTGAGCTTCGCCCGCTTTAAACTGCAGAAAATTTGAAGGTAAGTTGTTTATTCATCATTATGAACCATTGAAAACAGTTATTTTGTGTAATTTAGTATTAATTGAGTAATATTGGTGTAACTGTTTACTCATCCGAAACTAAAGTAGACATTTCAGTTAAGTTGAACCATTTTAGAATTTTCTCTTTAACCATAGTTAATTTAGTTAGTCTAGTATGAGCTCTTTATTTAGTCTCTTAGATACATACACTCAATCAATAACTTTCCACCCCCTTGTATTGCCCCCTATCATTGCCGAATGCTAATCTCCACTGCAACATGTTTCGTCGCCTTCAGCTCATGTCACGTGAGCTCGCCGCACCGGGCTGAGTCGACCTACGCGAGAGCTGCGAGCTCCGAGCCTGAGCTGCGAGCTCGAACCTGAGCGTCCGCCCGCTTCAAGCTGCAGACAACTACGAGAGGCAAGTTGATTATCCTATTTCCTAACCTATTCTTCTACTAATATTATAACTGCAAAATTTTGTGAGGATGGATGGATGATTGTTACTCACAACAAAAAACCTACACTAAAACGTCGAAAAATAATTACTAATTACTTATTTTTTTTTTTTCTATATTTGTTACGCGATAACTCTGCCAATTATGAACCGATTTGAACAAATCTTTTTTCGGCGTATAGGTAATACCTCAAGGGTGGTACCATTTAAATTTAATAATAAAAAAAACAACCCTCAAGGGTGGAAAATTGGTGATGAACTTTTTTATACGCAATATCTCCGCCGATTATAAACCAATTTGAACGATTATTTTTTTGTGGAATAGGTATTATCAAAAGGGTAGTTTCATGCGAATTTGAAGAAAATATTTCACTCCCAAGGGTGGAAAATTGGGGATGAACTTTTTTATACGCAATATCTCCGCCGATTATGAACCAATTTGAACGATTATTTTTTTGTTGAACAGGTATTATTTGTGTTCACGCATTTGAAGTCGGTTTTTTTTAAGTTATATTATTTGTAACTAAAAAAACTACTGTGCAGTCTACTCGCTTACCAGCCAAATGCAGGCATGCCAGTAAGCGTATACACATGACAGTCAGTACAAGAACCTGGCATGCAAGTGTATCAGTCACTGGCATGTGCATCGCCACCTTGATGTCTTTTTTTTTCAACTACCTATCAATTTTATTCATGCTTTTGTAACCGCTGGGTCAAAATAACCAAACTATTTTGCAAAATGTCCACTTTTATTTATCAGAGGCAAATAGAGGATTTAGCGTACACCCCTATAATCCTTTCTTAGTAATCCTTAGTCACCTCTTACTACGACATTATGGGAAAGAGTATCTTGTTATCCTTTTATACTCTGCCAGTTGGTTAAGACAGATAGTGGACATGTTTTTCTCATAAAGTTGATATTCTTCCTTCCGAAAGAATATTAACTGTATGGTTTTTTTAATCAATATACCTACAACTGAACTAAAAACTCCTTTGTTCAATTCTTTAATAAGACGATTCAAGCATTTTTTATTATTTCCGTAGATTATAACTCAAAAAATATCTCTATATCTTAATCACAACTAAAGATGACATGAGTCAAAATGTCAACACTAATAGTTAAATGCAATAAAATAAAAACATCGTATTTATGTTTACATAAATAGGTCAGCTATAATTAAATAGTCATATATTCAAACAGGAAGGCGCTAACAGTGTCCCAGTGTGACTCAGACATAGGACATAGCATTCTTATATCTTATTACAAATAATTCATTAACATTTACATTAATTAATGCATCAATTCTGTCCTCATTCAAAACTAAATCCTTTTTTCCAGACTATAACGTCTAAAGTTTACAATTTATATGCTTCTGCATAAATATATTTCCATATCATTTTGAACTTTATTAAGAAAGTAATAAGGTAGTTGTAAATGTCGTGTCACTTGGCGCCAGACATTTAATAATAGGGTGGCCAAGCTCTATGGAAAATAAAGACACTTCCCTCTTTGCATGACATTAGGCAAGTAAGGTAAATGATTGTTTTGATTAAAATATGGTTAAGGAAAAACTTCTCCTACGCTATTATTATAATCCAAGCAATAATTTTGAAGTAAATAATCATTTTATTATTATTTATGTTCATAAAGAAGATTTTACGAAAGAGAATAGGAAATGCCGTTCATTATTTATTATTAATAAAATTATGTAAATGAAAACAAGTTTGCTGATAGCACTTTTAACAAGTTATCGCCATATTTGACCAGAACGTCGATAGTTAAATAGTTACCGGTTTATTTGTAAGTACCTATTGTTAAAGCAATAACATAAAATGTATTAATCATTACGTTTAACGCCACGTACTTCAGCACGGAACTCTAGGGTCACACAAAATACTATAGGATTAAAAAAAACATAATTTTTCAGTAACAGCATAACTTATTTTTATTGTTTTTGACGTTCATATGTGCCAAAATACTGGTCAAAGTTGAATAAATATTTATGATTTGATTTTGAAACTGTCCCAATGACATTATGAATTATGGCTACCCCACACTGACCCCTACAGACGACTGATCACAAAGGAGCACTTATTTCGCTCACCCGCCTGAGGAATTCAGGACCTAGGCGCCAGTTGACCTACAACTATGACATCCACTTCAAATGGCCACAGTGATCACTGTAACTAAAAATAGATGATCATTCATCACCACCAGTAGGTATTCATTGCCTACGCACTTGGCATTCCTGTTTAGAGGTCAGGATGATGACAAATGCACTTAAAATCACCTTAACTGTAGAATCCTACCGTTAAAGGTAGACTGGATTGTTCCCACCTCTCGTTTCCACCACTGCAACATCTGTGTAGCCAGGATCTACAGCTTGACCGCCAATCAAAACCAAACCAATGAAGGCCAAGTTTATCCCGAGGGATAGTTAAAGACTATTGGTAGAGGTGTGTGGTTGAGGATTCCGGGTGAAGCTCGCTTCCACCTTCGGCCTGATCATCATTAACTATCAGGTGAGATAAAGGCCAAGAACTCCCTCGTTGTAGTTACAAAAAAAGGTAGAGTCCTGGAGACAGCTGACTGTCTTGGATCCCCAAAAGAAATGTTATCAGAAGAATTGTAGGATTTAAATAAACACCGCCCTTTGCCATAGTTAAAAAGTTAATACTTTTGTCTATGATGCTAACTCTGTATTCTCTGTGATCTGTCCGTCCGTTCGTGTGGACGTCAATAAACCGTTTAATTGAAATAATTCCCTCTTTTATTAGTATACTTCCAACAGGTTATGGGCCGTCCCGTATACCCGTAGTGAAAGGGAGAATTTCGACAATTTATTGAGATAAATCGGAGAATCACATTTCGAAGTAATTTCAATCATTATAAGGAGAAGTTCGAGGTATAGAATCAACCTCCTTCAGCAAAACAGAAGAAAGTTTACTAAAAAAGGTGTTAAACCTGTATGAGATTGAGTTTTCACCATTAATCCCTAATTTTTAAGTGACCCCTATGGTAACACATAACAAGAATTTTGTTTTCATAAGCCAGTGGGGCAGCAAGGTTCTGGAGTGGAGGCCAAATACCGGAAAACGCAGCGTGGGACGTCCACCCACAAGGTGGACCGACGACCTGATAAAGGTAGCAGGAAGGCGCTGGATGCAGGCCGCTACCAACCGTGCGATGTGGAAGTCATTGGGGGAGGCCTATGTCCAGCTGTGGACGTCCTGTGGCTGTAATATTGATGATGACGATGAGGGGTCACTTAAAAATTAGGGATTGATGGTGAAAACGGGCATGAGATGAGATACAGATACTAAAATGTAATTTAAAACATTTACTTACTGTCTTATTTAATTCTATAACTAAACAAAATTAATAAAGATATAATGTAAACTGCTCATTTACATCTATCCGAGTAAATGTATTCGAATCGCATATTAATCCTGTATTACGCGTCCATAATTCAGCTTTTGTTTACAATAAACACGGATCAAATGCATGAATGCAAATAACAAATTGTTTATTTTATGGCGGGACAATAACAATAAAACATTAAAGGATTGGATCTATAAAACCATTTGCATTTGGAGTGTGAGATCGTGCTGTAGCCTGCTATTGTGTACAGGTGTACAGATTAATCACAGGCTCGTTTAACCTGGGCTGGCTTCTATTGCAGCATGAAAGTAATGAATGGGCCCATTCTAGATTGAGACAAAATATTGACAAATCGACGGCGAAGTTACAATACCACCTAACTAAATTTTTTTAAGAAATCGATTTTCTTAATGCGCGTGGACTTTTTCCATTCGAAATTTTTCCCCTAACTAACTTATATTTATTTTTAGATAGCAATAAAACTTTGTGGAAATAATCGTAGCTGCTGTATGCGCAAGTAATAAGTATTTACGTATTTTTTTTCTATCTCCTGAAAACCAAAAAAAATAATGTACAGTTCGGAGGTATTGTCACTTCACCGTCGAAATGTAGTTTTTGACAATGTAGGATGGGTGCGCTCTAATCGATAGAGAGATGACCTGAAGAAAAGAGTTTCAGGAGATAGGAAACATTATAGTATGTTTACGACTTCCTTGGTAGACTTACGTTCCACGGTGAACCACCATTGGATAAAAAATGATGATCAGAGTCGTGTAGTAAGGGGAAATATAGGGGAAAATAATATGTTTGCTTAGGTTAAAGTATCATAAGCCTATAAGCATAAGCATTTATCGTATTATAATGGGTGCGTGGCATTTCGCCTATCTGTAGTGACATTCCTGCACATTTTCGATTTTAATAGTCCCCACAGTGGACAGATGCTGATCCAGAAATTAAAGGACTCCTGAGTTCGATTAGGTAAAACATCGATTACATTTTTAAAAACAACTATGAGGTAAACGCAAACATTTGCCAGTAAACCTGCTACGAACATAAAAATTGGTTTAGTTATTCTATAAATACCGCATCTAGGTCACATGTGAGTACGCGGGACATCTAGATCTTAGGCTAAGGTCACACTAGCGCCTTGACCCGCGCCGAGTCCCAACACTGCGTCTTTGTGTTCAAACGCTGCGTACGCGCATGTGACCGACGCGACGCGACACAAACGTGACTGCAGGAATGTGTACCTGGCTTTATGTCAACTGAGCCAATTATTTCGTTAGGGAAGAGTGGTTTATCACGACGTCTATTATTTTAATACTTATCTATTTCGCAAAACAGGGTGTTTCGCCATAAAATTACCTATATACGAAAATTAAGTAAGTACTACAAAAATTAAGTAGTTATAGCTCTTCATAATAATATCTCAACCAGTCTACCTGATGATAATGATTTTGGTAGACTTCATGAGCCGCTGCAGAAGTTTTTTATTTTCATATTCATCATCATCATCATCATCATTTCAGCCATAGGACGTCCACTGCTGAACAAAGGCCTCCCCCAATGCTTTC